CCAAAAGGAAAAAAAAAAGCCCTCTCCGAGTGGGCGCTCCCGCCTATAATAAACTTCAGCCCTCCGCAGTCCCCATGGAGGCCACGCCCACTGCCCACCCAGCCCTGGGCGCCTTCATCCCACCCATCCTGGTAAACTGGGCTCTGCTCTCCCTCCTCCGTTTACTGTAGTAGCCTGGATATTTTTCCCCTAAAAAAAAAGCCTTTAGTCGAAGCCGATCACACGGGGAACAATACTGCCTACTGCCAAGTAAATGTATTTGGGACCCAGCCCTGGGCGCCTTCATCCCACCCATCCTGGTAAACTGGGCTCTGCTCTCCCTCCTCCGTTTACTGTAGTAGCCTGGATATTTTTCCCCTAAAAAAAAAGCCTTTAGTCGAAGCCGATCACACGGGGAACAATACTGCCTACTGCCAAATAAATGTATTTGGGATTGCATCGTCAATGGAAGGGGGGGGGAGTCCCACCGAAATCACTGGAGCTTTAGCATCTGCCTGCAAGTAAAGTTGCCACCTCCGGATTGTGAAATGCTTGGAAACTTGGGGGTTGGTGCCTGAGGGGGGTGGGGGTTTGAGGAGAGGAGACACCTCCGCAGGGTATAGTGCCCTAGAGTCCACCTCCCACAGGGACCATTTCCTCCAGGTGAACTGATCTCTGTGGCCTGGAGATCAAATAGCAGGAGACCCCCAGCTACCACCTGGAGGTTGGCAACCCCAGCTGCAAGGGTTAATCTCCCTCTTTTCTCTCCCCCCCCCTTGGGTATTTGCTGGGAAGCAAATGTCACCTAGTTCAACAGGGTTTATGCAATAGGTGTGCAGTCTATTTTGATTTCCAGCTCTTCCCCATAGCATCAGGTTGCCAAACTCCAGGTGGTGGCCAGAGTTCACCTAGAATGACAACTGATCTCTAGGCTACAGAGGTCCTTCCTCTGGAGAGAATGGCTGCTTTGGAGAGTGGAGACTATGGCATTACCCCCTGCTGAGGTTCCTCCCCTCCCCAAACTCTGCCCTCCCCAGGCTCCACCCCCCACCCCAAATCTCCAGGCATTTCCCCACCCAAAACTGACAACCCTACAGGACTCCTCAATTTGCATAGTACTTCCAGACTGCAATCCTAAGCATGCTTCCTAGGGAGTCAGTCCCATTGAACTCAATGGGATTTACTTCTGAATATACATGTCCAGGATTGCACTGTTGGCCTGGCCAATGTTTTACTTTACCTTCCCTAACTGAACTTGCATATCAAGGTGGGCACATCAGTCTCCAGTTCTGACATTTATTACCTATGTTGTCCCCCCCCCCCCCGCTGAACCCAAATGGATGATAACAGTAAACCGATCTTGTCATTCTTTTGAACTGTTAATAAACATATTTAGTATTTTTCATGCTAATTTAACAAGCCACCCCTATACATACAACTACGATCTGTAGATCCATTTCATTGTCTGATGAAGTGTGCATGCACACGGAAGCTCACACCCTGAATCAAACTTTGTTGGTCTTAAAGGTGCCACTGAGCTCTAACTTTGAACTTGCACATGTTTCGCTTGGGCTGGATCATACCCATATTCATGCACTGGGATGCGGGGTCTAATATACTTCCAACTTTTCTAGAAGGTGACTTCTGGGTATATACAAATGAATTGCATAAATTGAGATCTAGGTGTGTGCAGGTGCAATCAAAGAAGTACTTTACCCTGAGAAGAAAATGCCATATTTATTCAGCATCTGATCTCACTCCAGGCCTGTAGCTATCATGGGCATTTCGGGGGCCACGGCCCCACAGTTGTGAGCCAGGCCCCACCACCCTGCCCCTCTCCCGCCGCTAATTAGATTACTGCCAATTAGACTAGAAACTAATCTGCTTTGTGATCTAATTAAGTTCTCCACTCCCCTGCTCCAGCGCTCCGGCTCCTGCCCCGCCAACCAAAAATTTCTGGCCATGGGCCTGTTTCACTCCCTCAAAATTGTAGTGCGTATCCCCTCTAAAATTGAAAACTAAGGGCCAAGCTAGACAATACCACATCCCTGAGTACGCCTGGGGACGTAGTGCCATTTCAGAGCTTGTTTTTTCAAACAACTTTCCAAAATGCTTCAGACCACATGCATGCTAGAGACCACAACCGGGGGGGGGGGACCAGGGATCCCCTCATTTCCTCATGCTGCAGTCCCCAGTAGGATCAAAACCCTGAGGTATTTTAATTTTTTTTTTTTAGTTTAAAGTTTTTAAAATGTCAGACTCAGGGATGTGGTATTGTCTAGTTTGGTCCTAAGGCTCCCTTCCATTCAAAAACAATACAGCTGTGGATAACTCACCCACAGAGATAGGGCCAACTTCTGTCTTCTCAGCTGTCACTCTTTTCGCCACTGAAAGGTCAAAGGGCCAGACATTGTGCCTGCTTCACCAGGGATCCCCTCATTTCCTCATGCTGCAGTCCCCAGTTAGGATCAGGACCCTGAGGTATTTTTAATTTTTTTTAAGTTTAAAGTTTTTAAAGTTTTTTTTAAAAAAACCTCTAAAATGGCAGACTCAGGGATGTGGTATTGTCTAGTTTGGTCCTAAGGCTCCCTTCCATTCAAAAACAATACAGCTGTGGATAACTCACCCACAGAGATAGGGCCAACTTCTGTCTTCTCAGCTGTCACTCTTTTCGCCACTGAAAGGTCAAAGGGCCAGACATTGTGCCTGCTTCACATACTGGCCCCGTACAAGTGATCAAACTCTGTAAGAAATCTGGTGCCCTCTGCTGGCAAGGGCTTCCCGGTAAGTGAACACACGTGCTCAAGCCCAGCATCCTTTTCAGTTCTGCTCTATTCCATTTTATATTTGTGGTGCATACAAAACCCAAAAGAAAGCATTTTTCTTTCAATTAATTTGTACAACCGGAATACATTTACTTGGTGTTTGCTTGCTTGCTTGCTTGCTTTTGTTTTGGCTGTTAGGTTGCCGGAGACTTATGGCGACACCCATAGGTTTTTCTAGGCAAAAGAAGTGGTCACTTGCCATTGTCTTCCTATGCACAGCAGCCACTGGACGTCCTTAGTCTCCCATCCCGAATACTCACCTGGGCCAATCCTGCTTAGCTTCCAAGATCTGACAAGATCAGGCTAGTCTGACCCAACCAGGTTAGGACATTTCCCACTTACTATTTGAATACTGCTGCAAATATGCGTTCTCTCTTCCCATTGATTCTATCTCATCCTTCCTCCAAGGAGATCAGTGTGAGTGATCCCTTTTTGTCCCTCACAACAACCCTACGAGGTAGGTTAAGCTCAGATGGAATGACTGCCTCAAGGCCACCCATATGAGATTCATGACTCCAGCAGGGACTCCAACATCTGTCTTACTAAATCCAAGTTCCTCCTTCTAGTCACTCCTACGCCACCCAGACTCTAGAGTCTTTTGGGAAAACCATCTAGCGTTGTTGCATAATACCCAGTTTTATTCCCCTGGAGCTAGACATTTTTTTAAAAAAACAAACATGTGTGGAGATCTCTTTCACCTTTGTACTGCTTAAGAGAAGCAAAACAATGTCAAAAATCCACACCTGAATTTTTGCAGTGTGTCTCATTGGATTTTGCAGTGACATGCGTTTCTACAGCCCCACCTGCTTGCTGGCTCAGTCCCTAATTCAACCATTCCTATGCTATGGAAATTTACTAAATGCTGGTTCTTGGTTCCTTGCTATGCACTCATAAACCTTTGATTCATAGTGGAGCTCCTGGCGAACCTGGGTCTGATTCATAAGGCAAACCATCGGAGAAGGGGGGGAGATTGTATATTTTGAGCATAACTCATCTTTTAGGGATTTCCCAGCCCTAATCTGACAAGTAAAGAATGAGAAGAGACGCCTCCCCTCCAATCCACGCATGTAAAGCAAAACATTTTGTTGCAGTGCTGTAACTTGCTCAGAAGCAATGCAACTACATGACCTGATTCAATCTAGGAATTCTGGTGATTGGTTATCTGGGTCAGTTTTGCAAATTTCCGTGTCTTCTCGAAATGGCAGAACTCGCAGAACGGGTCACTGTATTCAAATGAGCTAAATGCTGGTGGTGGGCAAGCACCACTCATTTCGATTTGGCAATGGTTTGGAATGTAGACACTGTTTGCGTTTAGAAAAGGCTTCTCTGCATGCCAGTAAATCTATCCCAGTTTGTAATATCAACACATGTTGGGCCGAAATGGGACTCTGCATGTGCGCATTATTGCATTGCCTCCTGGGAACTGTAGTTTGGCCACTAACATTAAAGTGAGTGTGGATGGCCCCCTTTCTCCGCAGCTGCATCACATGAAGAGAAGTCTGACATTTTTTAAAATTCAAGATGAGACTGGTTTAGAGGAGGAGAGGAGACGGCATGGACTGCATATGAGCAGAATCTTATTCAGCTTTCCAAACTGCAGAAGATTATGTGTGGGGAAACAGCACTCAATTAATAATACAGCCAAGCAGGGGTCATTTCCTGCGGGAGCGCACAGGAGTGGAGCTCCAGCAGTAAGGAGCCCAGGGGGCGGTGGGATCAGGGGTCATTTCCTGCAGGAGTGCACAGGAGCGGAGCTCCGG